AACAGTCTGCGGTCTTTTCTTAATTGTCTCAGATGGGTTCGAGTCAGTCACATGATCAAACTTTAAAAAATTGACTTCAACGAGCATCATATAATGCAACTCCCCTTGGATCCTTACACTTGGATCCTTACAAATAATGAGGAAGGGGCTTATTATCGTGCGACGGACTACTCCAAAGTTCCTTAGTCGAGATTCGTTGCCAAATCAGTGCAAGATATTCTCCTTCCTGGTGGAGATGGGATTTGCAGAAAATCCCAACAACTTCGACAATGATGCTGGACTTTCATAGAGTGTGACTTCACCCACGGAACCAGCAGCTATGGAAACAAGACTGGCATTAAGATTTACTAAGAAATTAAAAGCTGCTCGACCTCTATTTGATAGATTGTTTGGTGAATAAACTTTTTGTGACGATTATTTCAAGATTTGTGAATACAATTTTTTTCACAAATATCTTATATTAGAAAAAAATATATTGAGAAATTTTTAAAACACATTTTTACAAAATCTTTTTTGAGGATCTATTACAAAAAAAAATATTCCAAATTATCAATTTTTCAAAAAGTAAATTTGGTTACCATATGAATTTCTTTGTTAAGAAATATTTTTACCCGATTTATTTTGAGACAAAAAATAGGTCGATTACCAAATTTTTCCAAATTTTCAGTAATCTTTAAACCATAATTAGCAACAACACAACCATTTTTTACTATCAAATTGCGTCCATTTTTTACATTTTTGCTTTTTGTGGGAACTTCTTCTAGAATTTCCTAGCCAACGGTTTGCAAGTAACATGAATTTCGGTTGAAATTTCGATTTTAGGCAAAAGTGTTTGCACTGAAATGATTTGGTTTTTCTCTTGCAATTTGTAATAAACAGCGAGGAATTTTGAAAAAGTTTCCACTTGATGAAACAACATTCAAATGGAAGCTGTATTTGTACAAAGTAAAAAGACAATTGAATTTTTGGTTGTGAAATGATTGTTTCCCAATCTTTGTGAAACATGATCGAGAGATTAACAAATGAGAATCATATGAAACTCACAATTCTCCGAAGAACAGTGAGATTTGAGAATAGAAGCAAAAATCTGGAGTTAATAAAAAAAGAAACATTTTTTCTTTATAATCTGAATAGAAGCTGGATAAAAATGTCACAAGTAGCAGCCTACTTCTGGACTAATGATTTTTGCATAGAATTGTGGTTTAATATGGGAGAAGGAAGTCCTCTGCAATTTCGATTATTGGAAATCTCAAAGAAAATATTGCAGCTTTGACCCTCTTTGCTTGCATGGTAGGCAGCCTGACTCACACTACTTACTTTCACTTTCAGTGAATCTCAAAATCATTCAAACAACTGAAAAAAAGCGTTTTGACTGGACTCTGGACAACAGTAGAAACATATTTACTTTAGATATCGATTCGACAAGCAAAAATTGAACTCATACCACAGAATGAACAGCACAGAATTGAGATTCAATGGAAAAACTTTGTAAAACTTTTTAATTTAGGTAAAAAAAAACAATAAATTAATTGATATGCTTACTTCATTACTCAGTTATAAGAAAAATTTCGTTTGAACACTTGTACAAGTTTTAGCAAATGCGCTGTGGAACCTGTACTTTCAAATATATATTGAATTTCACATAAATTTTGAAACTTTTTATCAGGAGTTTCCCATAAGCACCGAAGAAAGAAAGTTAGTTGTTGGCTTATTGGACTCAGAATCTTGTGTATGGCCTTTTTTATCATTTCCAGAAACTTTTCACTTTATAAAGTCTCCCAGCTTAATAAAGGTTGTGCTTAATAAAGTCTCCCAGCTTCAGACTTACTTGTTCATGTAACAGTGGTACTATTTTGATGTTATATTAAACTATTTGCTTCAAAATTGTTTCTGTTATTCGAGTGCTACTAATTTCTCACCTATAAGCCAAAAAACACTTGTTTTAATAGGTTTGACGCTTTTTTATGAAAAAGTACCGATAAAACTAAAATTAAAGGTTTATGAAACCAGTCAGGGCAGGAAAACTACTTGGAGTACACATTTTTTTCATGGATCTACTTGGATTATTAGAAGTGATAAATATACAGAATGGAACAGATATTTACATAATCTCAAAACATCAAAGACTGAGTGTCCTGCAATGGGACATGAAAAATGTGCATTTTTGATTTGAAATTAAGAAAACTAAAATAACTAAATTGGAGGACTATGCCTGTCCATAAAACCAGTTTTACCTTTTTATAGGAAAAACAGCCTAAGGAGTAGAATAGCTACCCAGTTTGCCGCCTCATGGTTGTGGAAACACAAAATAAATTTCCGAGTTGAACATGGGTTTCAAGTTTTTTAACGGTTTGCAAATTAGTTTCAATAAATTTATTTTTTTTCTCAAGGTTCAATGGTTAAGTCGTTTTTTAGTTTTTTCGTCTGCAATTCAGATGGATGATCATTTGTAGACAGCAATTGTTTTAAGATTTTTTATAATTGATGAAGAAAATCATGAAGGATAGTGGATTTTTTTGGACGTTCTTATGAAGATTCTTTTTATTTTTAAAGTTTTTAAGACATTTTGACACAGGTTTGTGCGAGTGTTTGAATAAAAGATGCAAAGAAACAGCAGTGCAGTTTGCTTTACTATCAAGTTCAGTTGCTGATATTCTACCCTCTTCTAAGCTATGAATGAGATAACTTCTAAAAAGGGTGGGATTCTTTTCCTTAGCAGGTCCTAGAGGATCAAGAAAGTCTCATGCGTTCTATTTCAGATAATAAGATTTGAGAAAAAACATTTCAATTTGCATTTGAAAAGATGCAAAAACCTTACATTCTTACAAAGAGTAGGATTTGATTTGATTGAAAGCCATCCAAGAACCTGAATCAATTATCTGTTCACTTTTGATCATTCTCGTGACGAAGATTCAAACTCATTTTCGTAACACAGCTACTACTGGAAGTCATATGTATGTCTCAAAGTTGCGAAAAATTGTTGTAAAGTTTTTGAGTTTTAGTTCAACTTTGAGCGAGAAAATCGATCGAGTAACTTTCGTTAAATATAAATATTGGATATGTAGGCTGAAAAAAAACTTGATTTTTAGTAAACAACAAAAAACAGTTTTGGAAGCTTCCCTAAGCGTTTTCCGGGCAATGAAGTTTTTTATACTTTTTTCATTATAGTTCGATAAACGCTTTAGAAGTTTTTTTTCTAATTTTTTTTTCGTTTTTTTTGTTAGCTTATGTTTGAAGGCAATTGTAGTGTTTTATGCCTAATTCACCAACTCTCTCCAAATTTGTATATTTTTATGATCGCACCAGGCAGAAGAAACAACGCTTTTTTGTAGTTTTTACGCATGTGGTAGGAACATTCTGCGCTACTTGCACAGCAACCAGCTACCCTTGATTTCCTTTCACCTGAAAATTTTTACAAAAAAACTGATTGATCAGGTTTTCCAGTTTTTATCAAATTTTTCATGCGGACTACTGAACCCATGATAAACATTTTGATCCTCAAAAATAAACCTTGTAAAACAAACTGCTTACACTATAAAATGATAGTTATTCGAGGTGAGGGAAAGGAAATTGTACCGCTTCAATTTTTTCGTTTTTTGCAGAAACATCAAATAACAAAGACAACACAATCAATATAATTTAGGGGATTTTGTCTAAAAAACGGTTATAATGCAGCCAAAAAAAAACCTTTTTTAAATGGATTTAAATGAACTCATTGTTAAGGAAACAATCGATAGTAGTATAATGTCGAAACATAATACTCGATTTCATGGTTTAATATTCGGCAATAATGATTCACTATGAGATCATAATTTGGAAAATGTTTTTCCTTTTCCCTTCAACCTCGTAAGAAAATCAATTTTATAATGTAATGAGTGGCTTACAAGGTTAAGTATGAAAAATAAACAATTTTGCTAAGTTTATTTAGTTGGCAATTCAATTTTCTGAACAGTCGATCTATATGAAACAAAACTCAAATTTTAAAAACTTGTAGATGCGAAAAAGTAAGAAGAGCCAACAATTTTCCTTCATAATCCATTTCCTTTATCAATGAAAATACAGTGAAGGTGAACATTCTGACACTCGTTTCAAAATCCAGGATTGTATCTTTGATTCAATCGGTTATATTGGATTTCGTTCAATTTTACTTTGTTTATACTAGCCAAGTGTCAACCCAACTGAACACAAGTCTTGTGTTTTATTTGGAAGAGGAAAAAAATCCTGAATAATTCGGACAGCTATATCTATCACTTCGCGGCCAAACTGTGTATTTTACTGTTGCGGAATCCGCAACATTGCAATTTTTTGTCTTCTTTGCTGTTTTGGATTCCACGGACAAATAGCTGAACACTGCATTGCTCAAAAACATGCGCGAAATCCACAACAAAATTTGCCGAATCCGGAACTGTCTGTGGAATCCATAAGCAAATGACAACATATGTGTTTACTAAACTTAAGCTGTTGTGGAATCCACAACCGTAAGTGAAATCCGCAAATTGTCAGGGGAATCCGTATAAATTTGCGGAATCCACTCACATTAGTGGAATCCGATTTTAATTGCGGATCCCGGATCAAAATTTGTAGAATCCGCAACAAAATTTGCCGAATCCGGAACAGTTTGTGGAATCCATAAGCAAATAATAAAAAAAGTTTTTAGTACTTTTGAGCTGCCGTGGAATCCGCATTTGCAAGTGGAATGCGCAAATTGTAAGCGAAATCCGCAAATATAAGCGAATTATAAGTGGAAACTAATGTGCCGACAAAATTTAAGTCACAAGTGTTTGCGCGAGGAATCCACGGAAGTTTTGGAAGTGGATTCCACTTACTTTTTGAAACATGTTTAAAGGTTTGTCTCTGGAATCCAGGGCCATACAGACACAAAATTGTGCGTTTATCCGGTGCACAGTTTGGCCTCGTAATGATGAAAATCCGGCGACGCAAAAGATTTTTACCGCCTTGATGTTTTCGTGGATGATTATTGTCACAAATTGATTACTTACACAGTAGGAAAATGCGTAGCAGTCGGACGCCGTCATGCATGCCAAGTAGCACAGGTTCAAACTGTTGGCTGTGACTGTCTTGATAGGGGCACTATGGGCCATTAAACACGGACACTCGTTGTAGAAATTTTCGAAGGGAATCCCGAATTGGAGCGCATTGGTTGAATAGGCTTCAAAAAGAACAAAAACAAGTGCTGTTTTCAAAATTGACTTCATCTTAGTCGATTCAATCTGAACTAAGATATAAGTAACGAACGAATAATTTTTCTGAGGAAGAAATTGAGGATTGCAAAAGAGAGCAATGGCGTTCAGTTATATCTTCTCGACAATATCGTTCAGTTTTGTCGTTTTTTGACATAGGTGCAATCGATATGTTCTGCATAGATTATTCCCATGTATACAGCTATTAAACTGGCAGGACGTCCGTTAACAAAGCAAGGACAGCTGATACGGAAATTCTCCCTTTTCCGCTATGCTGATAACATTTTTTTTCAATTTTCGACTGATTCTGTCATTTAAAGCCGGATACAGCACAAAGACAGCAAAAGACTGCGAAGCACTGAATCTCCTGACGACACCCTTAAGTTCAATGAATTAAAATTGAAGAAATATTTTAAAAAGTTGAAGTAGAAAAAATATTCAATTTTTTTTATATGGATTTTTCCCCGCACACTAAGTAAAACACAGAGTGGTCTAAAATATGTCTAACAACGTAATAAAAAGACTGAATAGCTTGTCCAAAACAAATTAGAACAATTTCTGAATCAGTTTAAATACCCTTAACACGTTAATAGCACGAAACAGCGCAAAATTTCTTAATTATCCCAGTTTTGCCAAATTGGGAGCTTCCAAAACATCTCAGAAAATTGATCTTTGAAAATTTAGAAAAAAAGAGCTCAGGGCGTCAAAACTTTCATTTGGTGTAAGAACTAATGTTAAGAAGTAGCAAGTTAGTTTGTCTGAAGAAACAGACCACATCAATCATGAATTTCCAACCTTTCTTTGAAGGTCAAAAGAACAATTCAGTTTGTTCTTAAGAAATTTAGTTATTTTTTTTTAATTTATGTTTTGCACGCACAATAGAGATGAGAATTGCTTTATGAAGAAAGTATATAAGTGTTTTATGTTACACTTTTGAAGCTGTGAAGCCTAAATTGTTTTGAAAGAATGATAGATCATTTGAAGAAAAAAACATCCGTTTCTGTACAAACAGTCCCATAGTCCAAATGCAAAACAGTCCTAAAAAGTGTAAAAATGAACAAAAAAAGTCCGATACAAAACATTCCGAAAACAGTCCGAATTGATATTTGAAATATAAACTTGTAGGCTGAGAATACTTCATTCTTCGAAGAAAAGTAGCAACAATAATAACAACATTAACAACAACTAACAACAAATGTTTTTTGCAAAAAGGTTTACTTGATAACTCCGCTTCAAGCCCATACCCAGCGGAGTTTCCTTACAAGACATGAAATTCTCTAAATTTTGCGTAAGTTGATAATCGGATTTGAAACTCGTTATTTCAGATCTTGATAAGAATTTGAAAATTTCAGATCTGTGGCTTGGATCTGAAAAAGAGTTTTTCAGGTCTGAAATAACCTTGAAAAACAAAGTTTCCGATTTGAAATTGGATATGAGAAACAGTGTGTTAAATTAATATCTACCAATTTTGAGCAAGCAATTCAGTTCCGAAAAATTAAACTTCCGAATAATTATTCAAACTGTTTTTTCAACTAAATTTCTTTATTGACTGTTTTAAAAAAAAATCCAAAATGATAGAAAAATTCTATCAATATTTTGCTTTTCATGTGCGACTTAAGGGTTTCCGGTTTTGATATGATGATATTGGCGACATATTTCAGCAGTTTCCGATCATCGGAGACTTAGCTGAGTATCTGCTATCAGCTAGCGGAAGCTACAGAATACAGAAGAATAGCAAAGATTACGTCCAAATAATTGAATTTCATAGTGCTGAGGTAAACCAGAAAAACTAACTTCAGATCTGAAACAGACTGTTTCAGATTTCAATTACAACTTTTACTGGGTACGGCATGCTTTGTGTTGATTTGAATATGTGCAATTGAGTTCTTACTTTGTTTCAAAAAGCACATAAAACTACAGATTGCTTTTTAATAAAACTGTACTTATGTGTCAGTTTACCCATATTGATAAATGTTTGCCCACAAAATGATAATTACTGCACATAACCCAAAATTTTATCGCTGCTCAGCAATTTCCGTGCTTCTTACCAGCTTCATGAATGACAAATCTCAATAAATAACTTTGTGTTCCAATTTTTGAAAAGATGGGGAAATTTTATGCTTGTGATGGTTTTTTCCGATCAACTTTCGAATTCACAGCAAATTTTTCTCTAACATCTGTATATTGTTTCATTCCATCAAAATAAAGCAAATAAATTTCTTTCAAATTGAGCTGAGGCGAGCAATTTGCTGCTTTTTTCTAGTACGCTACAACACGCAAAATGTATCGCAACATGTATCACTTTGATCTTTACATAGTTTGAGGGGCAATAAATTCAGAAATAAAATTTTAAAAACGTATTCAAAACTTTCTCAAGTGTTTGAACACTTGAAAGATTTTGAATCAAAAAGCTTGTGATCGACAGCAGAGGGTAGTCGGAATAATCGGGGCTTTGCCGTGAGAACGAGCAGTCTTGTTGACTTCAAACTGAAATTTCCTATCGACCAAACAACCATCCCCCGGTTAGGTAAAACTTCTGAAAATGAATTTTGCATAAAATTAGTGTCTAAACACAAATTTTAATATGATTACTTTAAAACAACGTCTTAACACATCGACAAAAGTGTTAACGCAAATATCCTGTAATCAACCGAGTTAAGGAATTGAAAACACAGATCAATTTAGTTTCCTGTCCAAGGCAGTTTAAGCAACCCGCACCGGAGTTCCATAGATAATAATCGATTCTATTGAATTTTCGTGGTCTGTCTCAATACATTTCGATAATAATCGATTATAATAAATTAAAAATGGATTATAATGAAACTATTTTTCTAATCAATAAAATCCGAATTTAATCGATTATAATCGATTATAATCGATTATTTATGAAAGAAAAAGAAAATTGTTTTCTAGGCAAAATAAACCATTTTAATCGATTGTAATCGATTATAATGGATTTTTTCGAGGGGTTATTCTTGAAATTTACAATTTTGTTCAAAATTATCTCATTTCCTGTTTAGTGCAGTTGCTACGAATTACCTTTTCATAAAATGTTACATTTCAGAACAAAATTTATATTTTTTGTCTCTACTTTTTTAAATTCATCGCAGTTTAACTAACACTTCATTTCACTGTTTTTTAACCAAAACCCTAAAAAACTAAAATTTCAGGGGTTTGAATTACATTTTCATAGCTCCACCCACCGGAGTTCCATGGATAATAATTATAAGTCTTTTTAACCCAGTTTACCGCCCCCTAGCCCCCCCCCCCCCCACCCAGATTACCAGTGCTCCATTAACCCTCCCCCAGCTTACCCGAATTTTTTTACCCAACCCCCCTCCCCCCAGTTTACCCTACCCCTTTAGCTGAGGGCGGGGGGGAAAGCTTGAGGGGCGAGGGGCTGACGTTGAGGCATGCCATGTAGTAAAAGACATGGCATAAATTTTGCAAATTTTTCGCAAAGTTTGCAATATTTTGCAAAAATAATCGAATCGAATTTAGTTCTAAAAATGAAATGGATTATAATGGATGATAATGGATTATTTTGGCAAAAATAATCGATTTCAGTGACAAAAATAATGGATTATAATCGATTATAATGGATTTTAATGGATTTTTATTTTTCAAAAAATCGATTTTAATGACCGCATAATCGATTACGTGGTCTAAATTTGCCACAAAAATGGATTATAATGGATTATAATGGATTATAATGACAATATTTTTGACAAAATTTTTCCATTATAATCGATTATTATCCATGGAACTCCGGTGCGGGAATGAATCGTTTTGTAGAGATACACTTTTGTATTGCCTGTAGCGAATATATTTAAATATATATAACTATTTTCAAATTTTGGTAATTTTTCCTCAATAGTTATGAATTTTATCTTTTCAATGTAAAGGTGGGAAAGAATCAATTTTCACGAGTTGAAGATTGTATCTATATATGGTTTCCTTCATCAAAGAACTTTCCTCACCAGACGTCATTCAAAGTTTCGCCCACCTATGAAAATTGTAACAAAAAAGGCATGTGATTTTCACAAAGATACCGCAGAGCCGTAGAAAAGAAAGCCTCAGCCGAAACTGTTATATTGCAAAAATTGAAATTGGAATTCCAAGCAGGGGCGGATTTAGGGGGGGTGGGGGGTGGTGTCGGACGCCTTTTCTTCTCGAGGACTCGACCCCCTGCCATATTTGGATGGAAACGGACCCTAAAATTTTTCTAAAGGCGCCTTTGGCGCTAATATATACTAACTTTCCAAAAGGTGCCTAAAAACGCCTTTTTTGGCCAGTTTTTTTCAAAGCTTGCCTGCGGCGCAGAAACTTTGCTCAAACTGGGGTAGTTATAGTGATTTGGGAGAGCTCAGAAAATCAATTAAGTCGACTTAAAAAAAAAGGTCGACAAAATTTTCGAGAAAATCCCAGATCCGCCCCTGATTCCAAGTGCTCAAGATTATTGGCAGAAGTATTGGGCAAAAATAGGCCATCTTTCAATTGAAAATCTTTTTTGACATGATTTTTTTGACAAGATTAAAGGAGATAGCAAAACACGCATTTTAAAAATTATGTTACTACGTTTATTATGCTAAATTATGATACGCAGTTTTTATATTTGCAATAACGGGCTTTGCATCAGTAATTTACTTTCAACTACACACTAGTTTGACAAGTTTTCTGCTTTTCTGAGTGGATTTTACACGTATTTCACGTGTTTTTACCTAATCGAATATTTTAAAAGAAATTGACTCCGATTTCTTTTAAAATTGAAAAAAAAACACAAATTGAGTGTATGTGGTTTATGCACTCAAATTCAGGCTCTGTGTACAATCAGGTTTTCGTAACTTTTATTTACATACGTGGCTTTCACTTAGTTTACCCTAAACAACCACCTAAAAGCAAACCAGGCTCAAGATTGCAGAAAAAACTAAGCAGCTTATTCAAAGCAATTAATCAGCCTCGAAAAAAAATTAATAAAGCTTTTAGTGATCAATATAAAAAACTTCTGATGCCATCTGGTAGAACATAGTCGACAGTAGTGGTAAACTCTTTGTTTCTTTCTCTCTTTCTATGCCAGGTGACTTTGTTCGAAAAGCAAGAACTTTGTTTTCAGGGACGTTTGAAAACAAATCATTTGGTCTAACGAAGTTTTCTCATGTCTGAACAGAGTCATAAATTGCACAAACAATGTATTTTTCTTATTATAAGCCTGAAAACATTTCATTATTAAATTATTATTTGTTCACAATCCTTTTCTTGACTGCCTAATTAGTTCTGTGCTCGCCTGTAAGGTGATGAACTTTTGGTCATTTCCTTTATTTTTATCAGGGTGGTAAACTCTGGCCAAATACCGATATCGATGATTAATGTCATCATTTGATGCATCTTCAGCAGAAAGCCCCATGAACTCATAAGCGATCTTTAAAGCCTCTTGCTGATCGGAATAATAAAAAAGATTATAAAAGAAACTGAAAACCGGGTCTGTTATTTTTTGAGCAGTATAAGAGCCAACAAAAGATCCAACTAGTCCACCAACGATACCACCGAAAGGTAGTGGAGACATAGTTCCAAGAGTTGCACCAACATACGCCCCAGCTATGCCACCTCCTACACTTGCGATTTCTCTGACAAGAGATCGCATGACATCGGAAACGGCCTGTCGACCAGTTGTTTCTCCGCACCAATAACGTTTCATGTGGACCGCAATATCAAACCCAGTAGATGCTAAAATCATTGTGCTCTGTGAAACTCCAAAACGGCTAGATACGGATCTCAAGTGACGATAGGTCGATTTGTCAAGCAGCCGAATAGCGTGCACATAAACTTGTATTGATGCGGATCCCAAAATTCGTAACTCAGATTCATCGCCAGAACTTTCCAACACTTTGAAATTTTTTTCATCCCAGATTTGGCGCATGTCTTCTCGATAGCGACGGTTAATCTCTTCATTTTCAGTCGAGTCAAGCAAATCTTTAGCAATCCGATTAAATTCAAATTTTTTGTCCACTATTTCTTCCAAATGCGAAATCTTTCGATTGCCTTCGCTCGTTGAGAGGGCATACAGGACTCTGCTCAACTCACCCGAATGACAAAACGTGTCTTCGATTTCTTTTCGCACTTTATTGGGTATTTCAACTAGCTAAAAAAAGTTAAATTGAAGGTCAAAACAAAATTAACTCCAATAGAAAAACGTGCTTATCTAATATTAATTTTCAGTCAGGTTTGAATAGAAGAACCTTTAAGTTTGGGGATTTATCTAGGGGAAAGTTGAAAGTTTTTGACCTATATTTATCAAACATAACAATAAGCTGCTTTTGATAACAATTTAGTATCAAATTAATTTGATGCCAATTATAATGTAGCCGATCGAAAAGCTGATTCTCAGTAAGGCTCGATTAGAGTCTTGGATCAGTTTAAGTTTAAAATCACGAGAAATTGCAACACAGATCAAGAAACGCTATTTTTCAGTTTTCTAAGAAAAAGCGGAAAATATACGCTTGCCAATGTTAATTTTATTCAGACAAATTATTTTGAAAAAAGTTGACGAGTGGGCATCGAACCTGCAATCCATGTATTTGTGAGCGACAATGCTACGCATTATCGTTCTTTAACTTTCAGCCTATTGGAATTGCTCGCTTATTTTCAAGTTTTCTTTTCTGATGCTAAAAACGTTACATGAACTATCTTCAAGGAGCTGAAAGTTTTCTTGCAAATTTCATGCTTTTTACTGTTTTTTATTTGTTTTGAAATGTCATTTTCACTTTTCGAAATTTATTTTTCAAAATCGAATTCTAATCAATTAGTAATAATTGAAGGCCAAGTCAAGTCATCAACACTGTCAGCCTAGGTTTTCCCTAATTTTTTGTATGGTCTGTCATGCTTCAGTTAATTTGGAAACCATTAGTAGCTGCTAAAATTTATTGAATGCAGATTTGAAGAAAAAAATACAGACTGGACATACAGAAATCAGTTCTATGCCAGCCTATTGTTGATAAATGTTATGGCTGCAAAGCATAATTTGCTACAACCCTATATTGCTGCAAACTGTTCTCTCTTTTTCTGAGAAGAGTTGATTTGTTTTACAGTCAAAATGAAAAAAAAAATCAAGCTTGAAGTATGCGGGAAAAAAATTCCTTGAATACTCGCGTACGCTGTTTTTTAAAAATCGAGAAAATCTATGGTTTTTATTACTTGAGAATGCGTCCGAATGTTTTTTGTGTAGTTAGAACACGAAATTTTGGAACACCTACTTTTTTGTTGTACCTCACTAAAAGTTGTACTTAAATTCCTCAACCTCATCGAAAATTAATGTGCAAATTTTTGTGTCATGGGAAATGAGGAAGAAGCGAAACAAAAATGATCCTCCTGATACCACCAGCTGCCAACGATGTGATAGAGCTGAAAAAGAATTCAGGATATCCGGTACTCAGAAAAGTAATGTATCTCAATCAAAAGCTGAAGCTAAAATTTACACAAAAAAAATATTTCAAGTATAATTAAATAAAAATGTACTTCAACCACAAGTCAAAGAAAGAAAGAGAAACAAGTATCAGAGAAACAAAAATGTACATGAACAGTTTCGAGAATTATCTCAACCCTAGGTAATCTTAGGTTTCGAAACTCTACCCTAGGTAATCTTAATTTACACTTGTGAGCGCAGAAAAAAAAAGCATCAAATGTAATAGATTATAATGGGCCTTTAAAATGTTATGCAAATTGAGATTAATTTCAATTTGAAATCAAGAGATATAATATTTTTTATAGTAAACAAATTATATTATAAAGCAAATAAAATAACTTAAATGATTTATAAGAAATTTTTTGTTGATTTTAAGTATGACTGTTGCAGAAACTGTAATATAACTGATTATGAAAATCTGGAATTGGGTGCGGACACTTTAAGTGCTAATTTAAGGTAAAATTTTGCGCATCAAAACAAATTTGTTTTCATTAGATTGGTTTGTAATCAATCCGGGTCAGAATTTTCTGATTTCCTGACAGATCTCAATTATCTATGACAAAAATCTTCAAAATATCTTCAAAATCTATGACAAAAAGCAATTTTGTTCCTGCAATTTTTTTGGAGGAAACTAAACTAATTGTTTCAAAGTTCCCTAAATTTCAGAAATGCTCTTAGTGTTAGTTTAAATTGAGTACTAATTTCAACTCAGGCGGCTATGAATGTGGCCCTTGTAAAAAAAGCCAGTTATTATGTCATATTAAATTGAAATCAGGGTCTTCAGTGCAGCAGTATGCACACCCTCTACCCAGGTTGACCTCCATACACCAAAAATATTTATCATACGATTCCATACATGAAGTGTATGGAAAACTGTTTGTCATGCTATTTTCATAAAATTCAAAAAAAAATTTGAAAAATGATATAAACTAATTTCTGCGGCTGTTTGACTCTAGTAAAAAAAAGCTTGTCATACAATTCCTATATATGAAAATTGTATGACTAGCATTTTTTGATGGCGACACAAAAACTATTCTTTCAGAAATTAAATTTAGAAAAAAACATTCAAATTTTTGGTTCATGGAAAAATATTTATCATACAATTTTCATATATGGGAAAATGCTCATCATAGAGAGTTATTTCAATTTTCTGTACGTATGGCATAGTATGGAACTGTATGTTAAGAAGTTTTTCATATATGAGAATTGTATGATAAGAAGTTTTGGTCAGCCCGGGTAACGAAGAAAAGTTATACATGCTTTACAATTTTTGGTAATATCAAGGTGAAGTTTTATTTCAAGGAGGCGTTTAGCATGATGGCAAGGTGTTCAATAACTTTTAAGGCAATAGTGGTATTATTTTGAACTTTTAGACGCAAAAAAGGGCATCGCACAGCAAAAATAACTCTGGAATGTTGGTAGAAAAGAAAAACGGATTATGCTTAGACATGCTGGATAGCTTGTTATAGATCCTCTGCGCCACATAGATACCATAATTGAGTTCCTTTTGGCAGATTAAAAATATTTTTCAGTTTTTTATTACAATAAGCAGCCCAAGCTCTTTTTATCTCAAGGGCGTCGTTTCGTATTTCCATGAGACTAAAAGTTCTTTAAATTAATTTAGACAGTTTTCGGTTAAGTCTTTTTCGCGTTCGCTTGCCAATTATGTTCGGTTAACTTCCATCGACCGACTCTTCAGTTCATTCATCCTCCCTCCTTCTCATTTATCTTTTATCTCTAAAAACGTATAGTGGTGAAAAATTTTTAGTACATGTATAGTCCAAGAGAATGTTTCCTTCGTAGTCAAGGAAGATCGATCTATTACCCGATAATGAGTATCCTGCGTAGGGTATTTATAATACTGCTAATGCGAGTTATTGTAGTGATTGTAGTCGTTCGAGTTCACTTAAATGATGAAGTGTTTCTAGTTCGGATAGTGACATTTCCTGAAAAATTCTGCTTTTTGTCTGGTATAATTTCATATCAAGATGTATATCATAGTGGATTGCACCCATGTATGTGTTGTTCATAAGTGAGAATTCTGCAACCGTGTGCTATCTTTATCCTGTGGGCAAAAGAGTTCCGTCAGGTTTTCATGTGTTTTTGGCAAATATTACCGCAATATAAGATGTGTCATTTTTGTAGTTGCGATATGGTTGTGATAGCTTAATATTTATTTTTCCTGTTTTCAAGTCGAAACTTTTTTCATATTTGACAAGAGTTTCTGAGTTTTGTATTTTCAAAAGTGGGTTTGAATATTTAGAAGCGACTTCTGTTTCGGGGTGATTTTGAAAACGTGTTACTTTGTTTTCAATACCGTCGGTATTTTTGTATGTTTGATTATTTATCTAAACCTGTCATACTCGAATTTTTCAAAAGGGATTGATTCAAAAAAAATTTCTGGTGAAATTGTATCATTCTTGCGTGAAAGCAACTTGAAATGTGCTACATGTTTCTTCTGGGTACCAAACAATGGTTGCTTGTGTGCGAGTGGGAGGATCGCAATATCCTGGGTCATTTTTACAAGGTGAGAGTATTCTTTGATATGAAATATTATCGTCATTTCAATTACGTGTAAATTCTACTTTTTTCATTTGGATTTTCCAATCAAAAACACTATTTTTTGGTAGTTTTTATTCATTGATTCGGCCTTACAATTTGAGTGCCTATTTATTCCTATGTGTGGTATCCAATTTTTATCAAGAAAGACATAAGTTAAACGTCCGTGTGCACCGTGGTACGGGTTTTTATCATCTAATTTAATATGACCTTGGTATCATTCCAGTTCTGCTTGATGCACGGAAACTGGTAAAACTTGAAAGTTCTACTAACTTGCAATTTGTGCCTTTATTTGTGATTATTTTTAATCGTTGGAGTTCGTTTTTGCACTTTTCAGGGTTAAGATGCAAGAGTCTTTCTATGTTACTTTTGTAAAAAGCTTCGTGATCGAGTCTTTTTTTATTTCCATTTGAGACTTGAGAGCAATGTACTTGCTTTTCCGAGAATTTTCCTGTAAATTAAAGTCCTGTTAGAGTTGTAGCGAATAAAGTGATGCTACTGTGTTTGTTGATTCTATGTTTTGTGTTTCGGTTTGATAATGTGTAACTAAGAGGTCTTGTGGTCCTGTTCGGGGAGAAAGATTTTGATGAGATGTGGATTCTAAGAGTACAAGGGGGAAAGAGTTTTAAGGAAGAAAAATTATTAAAAGATACACGTGTAAGATTAACTTGAATATGGATTGTAGAATGTTGTATATCCAATGGTTTTTTTTGTATATCTATCGTATTTATAGATAAGTTCTGTCGTGATAAATGGAGGGGTAAAGAATGAGCTGTTATATTTGGTGGATCTAGAGGTAGTGGGTCATGAAATAAATTATTTAGTTTTACCGTGATTCGGAATTTAAGTGAGGATATGAATATTATGTTTTTGTTCATCTTTGTGAAAAATAATTACAAAAAAAACAAAGATGCCTTTTTTGTTAATTAAATGTCATAACACTTAAATGGCTAATGATATTTCGTAATTGAGCTGGTAGTCACAAATTTTTGAGAAGTTAAAGAAAGTTTTTATGAGGGATTAGAAAATTAAGAAGAGGCTGCAAAAAATTATGAACAGGAACTATTTCTAGGGTGTCAATGATAAACAATTACAAAGTTCTTACAAAAAAAATTGAAAAA